AGGAAAGAGGAAAATGCGGGTCATCCTTCCCGGGCGGATCACGGTATAAAGAGCAGAGAGAATTTCTACTGAGAATCCGCGCACGGCTGGCCATACGTCGACGCACCCGGCGTTCCGATCCGCGGATCAACGAGGACACAGGATGTATCATGTATCTCTCACGCGATTCCCGAGCAAGCTCCTTGCTCGACTCGACTTTTGTGCATGATTTAGCACACGCGTTCTCGTTACGCGTATCATGTATACCGGTTCCTTTTCGCACCAACAAAAAAAACACGTCACGGCTACAATGGGCTGATTTTTTGTACTCTTTTTTTTTTTTTTATTATCTGGGATCTGAGGGTGACTCTCGTCCCGGATTGGCAGAGGTAAACGCGATCGTTTCACTGTTGCCAGAAGAAGCGGCCGCCGGCGACCATCCATGAGGAATAATAAGCAAGGGAAATCTTCGGAGACCGGTTCCTCGGACAGGCGTGCGTGCGCGTTTACCTTTACCTTTTATCTTGTCGCCGGGAACGCTTTCCGTGTTTCCACGACAGAAATTCACGAAAGAAGAAAAAAAGGACTACACGCTGCGAACAACGTGGCGCAACTCCGGCCCTAATATCGCGAACTCGGCATTTCGTCACGAACGAACGAATGAAAACTAAGGAAGACCAACAAACGTGCGTGAAGATGTACGAAATGCAAGAAGCGATAACCAAAAGGTATACGAGAGAGCTTTTAAAGTTGAAATTTCAAAAATAAAAAAAAACAAAGAAACGCGAGTCTTCCGCGAGACCTAGAAAGAACGAGACCGACCGCGATTGATTCGAAGTATTCTTAAATAGGACTCTCTTCTTTTCTTCGAACGATACGAAAACTAGATTCAAGGCAACAAGTCTCTGACGGTGAAAAAAAACGACCTTCGCTATCAATGCGAGCATCTGTCCAATGTATCTTTTCTTCAAATATATCACGACTCGACACACTGACTTGCACGTAAAAAGGCCGAAAAAAAAAAAAAAAAGAAAAAAAAAAAATAAAATGAAAGCGGCAGAACGCATTCCCGTCTCTGCCATGAGCCAAGAAAAAGAGAGCTGCTCGCGATTCCACGGGCACCTGGCGCATAAAGAAATCGCGAAAGGAGTCACCGTCGAGTATCACGTCAGAAACCGCGCGATCGCGAGTTTGAAATCTCGAGATTCAGCAACGCTAGCATTGACAGAGAGGCCGTTCCTCTCTCTCCGAAATTACCTTGCCTCCCACGTTGGATCACCTCGTCAGGGCGATCAGTACGCTAAAAGATTTCTTAAAAAAAAAAAAAAAAAAAAATCCGATCGCGCCTGAGAAAAATGTTCCCCCTCCTATCCTAGATACTACTAGCCTGCATACTAGCAATAAAAATTAACTTGCGCTATCTTTCTCTCTCAATGTGTCTCTCGTTCGCAGAAGTGAAACTATTGAACGCTTTCATTTTATATTTTTTGCCCTGAAGAATCGTTATCGTTATCGCATTATAAATTTTATCGTCTGATTCGTAAAGAGATTGCCAATAACAATGCGGATTATTATTTTCAAGACATCGAATTACAGGATGTTCTCCAATCACGAAGGATGCGGTGCCGGTGCAAACGATGCGCACAATTTCCGGCTCAGCCATCTGGACTGGCATCCGGCTGCATCTGCTGCCTACTGTGCAGCTGTCGCCGATTGGCAGATGCAAGCGAGCCTACAGCTGGTCCTTGTCTTGTCTCAGCGAGAGACTTACATTACCAAACCGAGGTGAAACTCTACTTTTCTCCTTTACCAGCGAACGAAAAAGAATTCATCCAAACTATTTTTTTTAAACTTTCCCCCTTCCGAGTTTAATTCTTCCGAGTTTTTATTCGTCTATCAAAATGTCGCTCCGAATTTTTATTCGTCTATCAAAATCGCAGTATGAGTAACGGATATTGCCTTATAGCTCGCCTCATATTTATTGTTACTGTCAAATATTGATTCCTATTATCTCGCTGGAAAACTATCGAAATCGATCTTTATTTGCCATTTTATCGTTATGTAGTACGTATTATCGATTTGATACGATTCGACGCGACTTTACGACGGATCTGGGTCATCAGTAAACCACGCCGGATGGTTTTTAATATATTTTCCTCCAGTCTTATCTTCACTAACGCGTTCTGGTTAAACAATCAAGAAATTATCTTTTATATCTAAATTTTTTTCAGACGCCGTGATAAATTTTATCCTAACTATGTTCTCTGTAACATATTAACGGTACGATCTTGATTTTTTTCAAGCGCATTTATAATAAAAATATTTTTCTCGATTTAACAAACGTCATTAAAAATTCGACGACTTACGTAATCGACATTGCGATGATTACGAGCACATAGAAGAATTATACACGTTCTCCCGTCAATCAACTTTATTTTTCTCGCTCATTTACTTGATTGTCCGTTCCTCTCTCTTTCGAGAGAAATCTTCCCTACCTTGCTTATTCGATTTGTGGGATCCCAAGGTCAGTGAATGTCTCAAACAGGTAGTAAATATATATGCTTGTTACGTTACACAAATATGATTAGATACGTTTCTCCCATACTCGCCATAACGATCTGGCTTGTTAAGAAGTATGTGTGCGTTTTGAAGAAGTTTCATATAGAGATTTAATTTTCAGATATAATTGAATTCTCCTCGTTAAATTCTGGGAACAATAGAAATCGCGATACAAGAACAATAAATCAAACAATGTCAAATTACAACGTGACAAGCTAAAAGAATAGAGAAGACTTAAAAAATTCGATTAAATCCAATAGAAGAAATTTAGGTAATCCTAAATCTTAGCATTGACTTCGCTAGAAGTAGCTCGTCAATGTTCTGAACAAGTTATCAAAACACGCGATAGCGTGTATAATCATTAAATGTTGAAGAAAAGAATGATCGACTTTAACATCACGTAGATTCATACGACGTCACTTTAGCATCGAGTATCTGCACGGACTGCTTAAATGGGCCGACTACTTCAGGCTGAGGATCGGCGTAAAACGATCATAGGTGATCAACGTCACCTATAGTAGTAGTATATATATATATATATATATATATATATATACATATATATAATAGCGTCAAATTTCTTGAAAGGCATGTAACGTCGATTGAAGCCAAGGCGAGACGAGAACGTGCTGGCTCACGCTCGCTCGCTCGATCGCGCAAGCCCCGTTATATTCCTGCCTACACTAAGAAGCTCTCACGTTGCTTCAGCTTCAATTTCCCATAGCAACGGCGGGAAACAACGCTACCGGATACGCCCCGAAATTTCCTTCGTTATTTAATCGCTGAGCCACGACTTCCGGCTTCGTGAACGGAATCCGAATATGAAATGACGAGTTATGTTTCATGCAAAGTCCGTGGTTCTGTATCAAAACAAGAGGATATAATCTCATACGAAATAACGGCGTGGCATATTGAAATTCGTACCGTATGTTTTATCGTGTGACGCGCGTTATTCGACAATCTCTTGGAAATATATAAACAAACCGGTTTTCTTTTTCTTAAATGGAGAGATCATTGAGAGAGAAAAAGAGAGAGAGAGAGAGAGACATATCTATTCAAATTACTTGTTCTCACACCCACATGTATCGATGATGCGCGATTCCGTATAACTATTCTTCCTAGTTTTAACTATGAATGGCAAGGTATGCGTGATGAACAGCGATTGACTTAATAGAAACATGTTTCTAACAAAGATCGTTTAAAAAATTCGATAAGTAATGAAACGTTTACGCTTTTTTGTTTAGTTAATTGAAGATTCTAAACTGTCGATTCTTATCGCCAACTATTTCCGTTATCTCTCTAGTGGTTTCAACGTTATAAATATGTTTGCGCGATAAAATAATAGAAAATTTCATGATCGGAGGAGGGTTTTATCATAATTTACTACTAACTACTGTTATATCATTTTTCTTATAACTATCGTCGAGGAACAAGCTACAGCTAGCTAATAATAGTGCTTTTTTACGGCGCGAAATTAACACGAGATATTGGATCTCGTGTTCTCCCTGGCCGATTGCGGGCTGTCCTCCTCGCGCTGTCGTACTCCTTTCAGAGGAGAGAGAGGCCGCAGCGTCGCGCGTCGCGAGGCTAACGAAGACGAGACGACGATGGACGATCACCGGTGTAAAAAAAAAAAAAAAAAAAAAATCGATTACAGAAAACCGATTGATGCGATGGAAAAGACGTGCGCGCGCGTGGCTCGTCTTACGTCAAGTCTCGCGTGTCGCGGCGCTACGCTAAGAAAGGAAAAAGATAGAAAGAGATACACAAAGAACTTAAGAATTTAACGGAAAGCTCTACATGCCCTCTGATAGAAAATAAAAAGCTCTTTCAGAGACCGTGCTACACTTGAACGCACCGGAATCTAGGTTGAACCACGTTATCGACAACGAAAGAAAAATAAGCTCCGCCCCGCCTGCGCAATAGGCACATATAATTACGCGCCACGTACGCGTCATCTAACTTCACCATAACTTTTATCAACGTACTTTGCTTGTGAATGAGCCATTGTCGTTTGTCACATTAGGGAAGAGATGCATATCATTTCCATTTTGAAATTTTCCACGTTCCCATTCAAATACAAGTACGCATGTTTCTATTCTATTCGACAAGTCATAAATTTGTTTAAAATTTGCATTTACAGTCATGGAAACGACTCTCGCAATGTGTTAATGTAAAAAACGTTCTCACTTTAATGAGTTGAATCTATTACGAGTGCCTATTGTTACGGGGGCCGGAGACAGATGGAAAATGATGAGGATGAGCCTACCTTGTGAGTCGCGATGAGCCTGTGCGGCCTCCTGAGCTGCTAGAAAAACCTCATCTGTCGTTCCGGCGGCTCCAGCCACAGAGCCCACGACACCCCCCGCATTACTTCGGTCACCGGTAACATGCCATGAACCAAGACCTGCTAAAATAAACCATCGTCCGATAAGTCCTAATGCCGCGTTCACTTTTCGCATATAACGTGCCAATTATTAAAAAATAGAAAAATACGCCACAAAATATCATTATAGACAAATAAAAAATCGCTTTGGCACATTTTAAATTAATGATTAGATTAAAATTAATTTATGAATTACAGATATCTATTTTTATCCAAAGGTTAATTCTAATCTCAGTTTAATTTACTTTGCATGTTTTAATTCTAAAAATTAGAAAAATATGTAATCAGTAAATTAAAATAAAATTAAAGTTAATCTGTAGGACAATTCTTATTTAAAAATCTGAAATGAGTTACAAATAAATTATCACATTATAGGAATGAAGAGGGAACTTTATTCATAAACTCTTTTAAAGGAGAACAAAAATATTGCACATATGTAAGATCAAGAAATTACGCAGCGAAACACAAGGCTTCACGATCAAAAAGTCGCATGGCATTCCCATATACAGAGTGTGTGGGAGTGCTTAAAATACATTTATATATAATACAATATATCCCTAATCGTCCCTCTATATTCACGATTCGTTACAGTAAGTAATATTTGGCAAGTTACGCGGGATATCATAACATCCGTCCCGCAGATAGTCATACTCGCACATGCTTGCATATATTCGCATACACACAGTCACACCAATTTTTAACAATCTAGCTTAAATAGTCTACACGTAACACTTAAGAAACAGACAAATAATACTGATAGTTTCAGACCATTTAATGTTGGAATATTTTGTACATCGCTCGCCGAACTTCGACTCGCAAATATTTATCAATGAATTATTGTTAAACAACTAGTTCGGAAGTGATTCTTGTTGGAGTTTCGATTCCCAGATGAATTTAACGTCAAAGTGCGAACAGAGGAATGTTCTTTGGCAATGTGCATGTATTCTAAGAATCACGTGTTCGATCTTATAAGTGAATGATCCAAGAATGACGCGAAACTACATAGTGATTGTTAAAGTTAACAACTGTTGGTTGTTGGACTCGATGTTAAAAGAGCGGTGTATGGGACGTTACAATTTTCACATGCGCACTAAGTCTGTCTAGGCTGGTCAGGAGTACTAGAAGGTTGCTGTCTCCATCTCCTCCTGACGACGTTCAACTTTTTCAAATAGAACTGCAGCGTTGAGCGATTAATGCCGTACATCTCGGATGCCTGAGTGGTGCTAACCCCCTGTTGCAATATCGCCTCCAGGGACATTTTAACCGAGTCTAAGCTATACTTTCTGCCCTGCTTGTTTGCCAGTGATTTAAGCAACGCGCCTACGTCAACATCCGGGCGCGGCCGCCTCATGTTTGACACTTTTTTACATTCGAGGAAATGGGAAGCCCATCGGGCGCCGCCACCGCTACCACCACCGCCATCGCCACCGTTACCACGACCGCCACCATCACCATCACCACTACCCAAATTCCCTCTCGACCGAGACCGCGCTCCCGCCCCCCCACCTGCAACGAGGAAACCCAAGCTAGTGTCGGCCAATTTGTTACACGTCCCGTTTTAACAGATAACAAACAAAACAACGAAACGACTTCGCGACACCAAAAACTATTAATTCGTTTAACGTATAAACCCTTCCCATTTACGATCAAGTGAAGAACAAGTTTAAACAATATTTATCGCAACCCGGCAATATCGCAACATCCGTTCAAGAATCACTGTCCAATCGTACAAGACGTCAAGCTCCGCCTCGATCCAAATAAACTTTTTGGATCGAAGATTCGCTACTGTCGTTGTTTCTTTCCAGAGCATATAATTTTTATACAAAACGCAATTATTCGCTATACTCTTCATACTCATACGCGGCACACTGCTTAGCAATGTGAGAGTTCAAATTCGTGTATTACAAATCACATTGCTTTTAAATAAGAGAAATAAACCCTGCGTTTCGCTACGATAAAATAAAAAAAATCATAACTATGACAAATAATATTTGAAACTTACCGGTGTGTTGGGCGGTGTCGTGGGACGGTCCAGCTCGACTATTATCCTGTTCCGTATCATTGAAATCGTTCATTTCTTCGTCTAGCGTCAGGTCTTCGACGCCCTCTTCAGCATCGTCCAGGTATTCAGACTTTGGCTCGATAAGATTATCGTTTGGCTCGGGCTTTTCAAGTGGCAGCTGTAGAATATAAAGTGTTAGCGATTTCAAAAAAGCCTATTCACAAGAACATAATTCACAAAAAAGAAATTAAATTTGTATCGCACTGTTTCCACACTGCTGTGGTAAAGAAAAGATAAAACCAAGGCAGTAGGACAAAGAACGAACTTTTCTTTACCAACGAAGCGAAAGAAACAGCGCTTTTGGCGACAGCTTCTATTAGACGTTGGCATACATAAGAGATACTAAAATTTGAACACAAATTACCTGTAACATCTCGTCGGCCGGTTTTGTCAACTGCGTCATTAAAGCTGACCTGCCGAGAGAATCTGTCGGGTCTGCATGTACTTTTTCATCTGCCACAGGCGCGATACCAAGCGCCGGTACACCCATTTGCTGGGGCATGTCGCTGGAATTCGATGCATCTTGGTTCTCTGTCGTATTATCTTCAGTTAAACTTCTTCTTCGAAACCTTTTTCTTTTTCTGGATATTGGACTTTGCGAACCTTCCCTGTAAGAACAGATAGCATGATTCATTAGTAACGCTCTTGAAACAAGTCACACAATCGCATTTGAAAATTACATTGAAAGTGTTCCTTTCCAAGATACTCACCTCGAGGAGAGCCCTTTCGACACCTGAGGACTAGCCGTATCCTCTGGTGTATCGCCCACGGAACTTGGCGCCAAACTCTGCCTAGGAACTTTGTTCTTTTCTATCGTCAGACCGGAAGACGCGTGTGGAATGTCTAACGACGGTGCTGTGGGTTGTGAGACGGTTTTTTGTGGCCTGGACTCCGTCTTACTACTGCTAGCAGTTTTACTTTCCGAAAGGCCCTTAATTTGCAGAGACTCAGCGGCTTTGAGAAGTGCTGCCAATTGGTCTTGGGAAATGTTTACTTCCCCTCTGTACATATAGTCCATCATTGCTTTAAGTTCTTTGAATTTAACATCTTTGAGTATAAAGACCGGGTGCTTGTCATAATGTTCGCTGAGGAGGCACTGTAACATAAAAATACATAATCTTCTCAAACAAACAATCACAATGTCAACTGTGTGTGTGTGTATATATATATATATATATATACTATTTTCCAAATTCACATTAGATACAAATGTACCGTACTGCATGTATACAGCTATAAATATAATATATACTATCTGTGTATACATACAATATACAAATAAAAGAATTATATATAAACTTAGACTATAAATCGCAAAAGTGCAGGCAGAATTATTTATTCAATCGATCATATATCCTATATTGCAGCTAAGAATGCAAAATGCTATATTTGGTACGAAGCTATATTCATAAGGCATACACACAATTCGAGCATATTATTAATTTTTATAGAACGCTCAATTCAATTATTGCAACAGCCGCTCTGCATCCCCACCCATATTAGGGTAAAATCCCAGGGCAAGTGCCCTGGAAATCAGCCATCTTGCTTTCCTTGTATTGATCAAGAGGACCTAGGAGGGGGCTTCAGGCTTTTGCTCCCCACTCTCCCCCACCTGCACCTCCTACACTCCTGCCCAGGCACGTTCAACAAGCACGGCCATCTTGTTTCAACTTGAGATCCCCCTACCCCTTTGCTTCTCAACAATCTATCTCACTCCCTCCCAACGTATTTCGTATTGATCTAACCCGACGGAACCAACTGGACAAAGAAGCAAGGGGGGAAAGCTTTACGACATACAATTATAATTTGCTATGGTCATAATTAATTCTGCCATATCAGAATTTTTTTCAATTTTTCCTTAATTTTTATGCGAAAATAACCAATAATCACAATATAATATAATTATCAAAAAAATTGTTTTAACATTATGATTTAAATCATCACAACCATGTGTTACTTCACAATTGATTATTCACAATTTATAATCATTATTAATGAGCAAAATAAAAAATTTTACCAAATCATATCAATTGATTTATTTGATTAAATAATAGCAATTACGTGAGATCTAAAGAGAATAATATAGATTGAGCACCATAAATTGAAAAATGATTTCAAAATTTTTCTGGGAGATAAGCCTGATGATTTCTAAGATTAAGTAATGATAAACAATATATTGCTTACCTCAAAATATGGACTGCACGCAGAGAGGACAACTTTGTGGGCCTTGAGAGTCTTTCCCTCCGCTGCCAGGGTGCAGTCAACCAGCGTCCCGCTTTCGAGGAGTGTGTCGAAGTTTTGTATGAGCGTACTTTGGTGGTTGTTCCACCTGAGACAGAACTGCTGGTCGTCCTCCATGGTAGTTCTGGCTTCGTTTCCTCGTTTCTGTACAGATGAGAAAGCAGACGTGAGTAATGTCGGTTGCATGCCAACAAAAAAAAAAAACAAAAAAAACAAAAAAAACCCGGACAACGTACGAATGCCGAAACTTGCCGATGGAGTCGTCCTCTCTTTCTCTCTCTATTTTCTCGTTTCGTTTCTTACTATCCTATCGATCGACTGAGCGACCCGACGCTATGTCGTCCTTCCACGACCGATTATTATCGCGCACATCGAGCCGGACGACGTACTCGCGAAAGTACGTCTTACGATTTTTGTACCGTTTCCGACGGTCCAGTGTTTTCCTCTCTCCTCCCGTGACTCTCCCTTTTTTTCTCGCACGCGGCCCTCGCGGGAGGACGACGGAGACGAAAGCTCCGCAACGAAGCGCTGAAGCTTCCAAAATGGCCGTGTGAGCGATGCGTCGGTCGGATCGCTCTTCTGGCCTTTTCCTTTGTGCGTGTCTCGTAACGGTAATGGACTGCCTGGTGGGGATGATGCAGGAGGACGCGCAAGCACCGCGCACGCGCAACTGCGACGTCCGGACTGCGCGCACGGCTTGCGCAACAACGGCGGAGGCCCCGGGGACTCGAGGGTCGCTGCCGGCACCGTCGCCGGTCACTGGACCTCCTTACGGATGTACTC